CAACGAACTAAGCACCACACAACAAACTAAGCACCACACAACGAACTAAGCACCACACAACGAACTAAGCACCACACAACGAACTAAGCACCACACAACGAATAAAGCACTACACAACAAAGTAAGCACCGCATATAATGATATAAGCACCGCATATAATGATATAAGCACCGCATATAATGATAAAAGCACCACATATAATGATATAAGCACTGCATATAATGATAGAAGCACTGCATATAATGATAGAAGCACTGCATATAATGATACATGCACCGCATATGAACAATATCATCGACTTAAGGCAGTCATGGCATTCCATATACATGGTTGTTTATGTATTGTTTTTCTCCCGTACTGTTGTAACTTACGCAACTGTTTGACTTCCAGATGCCAGCAACCTCTGCAAGTCATCTTCGCTTCGTAATAAAGTCTGGTTATGATCACTTCGCAGCTGTGTATCAAGTCGCCATCGATGGTTCTTTGGACGATTAATCAACAAAACTTATTCGGGAGGGGGAGTACAATTATTGATATGTTAATTAGTATTTTCAATGTTTCTACGCGGGCATATTTAAAACATCGTGAAGAAACTGTAGAAAATGATATCTACAGAAACTTTTCGATCAGAATCTAACCGTCCATCCCTACACATGCGAAATTTGTGGTTATAATATCGTTGACCATGTACAGAGCTCATGCAGGGGTTGAGCTGCCATCGTTAAAATTTCCTTTGGCTCCTTTCAGAGAGGGCCTGGGCTTTTTCACTCCCCCGGGGCCGCTCGCTATATATATAGTACAATATGCAGATATGTAATTCTGCAGACATGCAATATTTATCACTTATTTACTGAGACCGAGGGAAACGGTGTGTTTTGTGGACCCGGGACCGTCGATGTTTCCCGAGGCGAAGCCGAGGGAAACATCGAGGGTCCACAAAACACACTGCTTTCCCGAGGTCTCAGTAAATAAGTGTTTTATTATATGTCAATAGTCAAAGAAACAACAAATTAAAGAACAAATGAACATAAATACATGAAATATTTTATTGTTAATACGTTATATTAAACACTGGCTTACACTGCAGTTACTTAAAGCGAAAGTTTTAATTACGTACTAGGCATGTCCAAAGGTCGGATCTTCACGTGATTGCGCACGTGATTTCTTTGTTATTCGCCGGTCGATAACGTATTATCTCCCTCTCGCGCTGTTGCGAGGGAGACAGCCTAATTTCGTCACTCTCACGTGATATGCTCTCAACCAATAAAACACTAGAAAAATGCGACTTTGACTATTGATATATAATAATATTTTTTTTATTTGTGCATGCCTAGTGATATTTTTTTTTATTTCCTGCAATCTGATTGGCTGCAAGAGCGGGCAGCTTTTCACGATATCTTGACCGTGGTCCAAAAGAGTTATTTTTTAGCGACAAACCGAGGAACGAAGACAATTTTCAAAAAGTTTAAAAGTCGACGCTATCGATACTAAAGATAGTAAAATGGTGATCGCTAGATAGTATACTTCAAAATAAGATTTCCGTTTTTATAACGTAGAAAAAACTATCCTAACGCAAAACTAAACCCTAACCCTAATACTAACCCTCACCCTAACCCTAACCCTAACCTAACCCTAACCTAAACCCTAACCTAACCCTAACTTATTTTAATTATTTTAAAAATTGATATAAAAACGGAAACCTTATTTTGAAGTATACTATCTAGCAATTGCCATAGTAAAATACAGTGAATTTAGCTACTTCAGTGGACTTAGTGGCAAGCCCGAAATGTACTTTTCTCCGACCAAAATGCGAAAAAAACTAAATATAAACATTGAAAAAGTCAGTTGACTCGGTAGGCCAGAATTAGGGGACTGAAATTTAAACATCGCCAGAAACCTAAACCATGGCTGAAATAATTTGCTCGGAGAACAAGGCATGCAATGGCATTTTAGGACGAAATTCTAATTTAGTTTTTCCAAGCAAAGATATACTCCAAAGAAACCACCCTATCTCGCTCTTCAGTGACATTGAGAAGATGAATGCATCGATTTCAAGTACCCCAATACATGCATGTAATACAGTACTGTAGAATTTGAAGTGTGGTGAATGATCCCCGAGCCGACGGCGCGAAGCGCCGTGCGAGGGTACCAATTCCCCCCCGGCTAGTTACACCCCGGGAAACGAAAGCATTCGGTAAGTCTAAAGTTCATCAATTATCGCGGGCGGGGGTGACCAACGATGGGTGGTCATCCTCACTGATCTCAAAAATATGGCGGACTGTCATGAATAGCGGACACTGATTTGTCCAATTTAAAGTTTGCATTATAACGACTGCATGACGACAGCAAAATAGCAAACATTTCTTGATCTGATGATTGATAAATTTCTTGCAAGTATATTTCATTTTTGCTCGCATTTTTGCAAGATTTTGTAAATTTCAAGAAAGAAAGGGCGAAAGAATCGGTTAAAAGAGGGGAGCCGACGTTAACGAAGGTAAGTTTGTTTTAAATATTGATTTTATAATGGCTTTAAAACCCGACGGCCTTTGCGTATATGAAACAACTAAACAAGACAGCATATAATTTCAGTGTATCTTTAATATAGATTCCATTTTTTATTATATTGAATTTTTTAAATAAAAAAGAAAGCAAAGTTATTTGCAAGCGAGAATTTGAAATCATTTTATTGCAAACTCAAAGTTTATCGATAAAGCCATTAAATTAAATTAAAGGCAGTTTAGTTTTATAAAGAGCACTTTAAAACGTTTTGCGAAGCATTTGTGGTTGAATTTTACCTTCAATTGAGGCTTATATTACGTATAATAACATACCTAACATATATATATATACCGGGTGTCCCAAAACAAAGTACTCCTGTTTGATTTGTAATAACTTCTAAACAAGTAAAGCTATCAAACAGAAATAAATTGCATTAAATAGAGGAAGGACTAACTTAGATTTTGATATGTTACAGTTGTATTTTACTTAAGAATTCACGGAGATATTA